TTTCTATGGGTCTTCTATCCGCATTCTAATTAAAAAAAACTTTCCTTTCTTTTATGATAGCTGCATGTGATCACAAATGTGTAATTTTATAGCCATTGTTTAATGTATGTAAGAATATGAAATAAAAAAAAACCATTTTTTTTAATTTGTATAATATCTAACGAGAAAAGTAATTTGCTATACTGGGAAAACTTGAAGAACAATGCGATTATTATTCACATAATAAAAGCTCAGGTCTAATATGAAAAGTCTTAAACACGGTAATCTGTCATAAGCAGACCTGTCCTCAGGTCTGGTCTGGTCACTGTAGCAGACCTGTTCACAGGTCTGGTCAGTAGCAGACCTGTCCACAGGTCTGGTCAGGAGCAGACCTGTCCATAGGTCTGGTCTGGGGCAGACATGTCCTCAGGACTGGTCAATAGCAGACTTGTCCACAGGTCTGGTCTGGAGCAGACTTGTCAATAGGTCTGCAACAGTCCTAAAAAACCTAGGTCTGGTCTACCAACGACGAAGTTAACTTGCTTGTCTGCTTACAATTTCTCAAGTTCACTTGGAAAGCAGTCAACAAGTCTGCTCTAAGTTAACTTTTGTACAGATTAGGACTGCACCCATCTGTAGGTTAGCGACATTCAAATTGCGTAAATACGTTAAGAAGAAAAAAGAATAAGATAAAAGCTATATAAAGTGAAGTAGGATAAACATTAGTTCAAAATGGTTTGAATAGTAAGAGGACATTGTTTTTGGTTCAAATATACATTCGTTTTACCGTTTACGTTGTCAATAAGCATTGTAAATTGAATATTTATTACAGTTCAATCCTACAAAGGATAAATTACGCACCTTGATATCATTAAATTACCAAATCACCTTGACAGCTTGTTTTTCGAAGAATTAATCAATAATATTTATATTATTGACAATAAATTCTGTTTACAGATTTTCTTAACATTTAATATTAAAGGATATCAAACAACGATTTAAAAAAAAACTGTTTTGTACTGTAACAATAGTTCAGTAAATTGAGCTACGCTATGTCAAAACCTTAAGTATACACTGAAACAAATAATGAACGAAATACAAAGATGAAATTAACTGGAGATTAATTGCAAAAGGATGTACTGATATACTCAAAAGGCGTGTATATGTTATAGGAAATAAGTGTCTTCAGGGATTTCATGCAATTCCTAAATGTGAGGGAAAACATGTTATTCTCCATCAGAATAGTAATTGCATGTAATGCCTGGGTTGTTGAAGTCATGAGTTTTGTATGACTTCAGTGCAAAATTGCATAGACTCATTTTGAAATCTTATCATTAATATTTAGAAAGAGCAACAGCTGCAAGATTTATTTTGCACAGATATGATTAAGTGTTAAATATCTTTTTTGTTTAAGGCTGTTGTGCATACTAATTTGTCCCAAAACTATGTATAAAATGGTAATTTTACGTCAAATGTGTCAATTTCAAAATGTTTATGACATAACAGATACATCAAACGTGACCTTCTGCACTCAAGTATCCAGATTATCTTAACCTGTTCATTTATCAATATAATTAACAAAATTTGGAAAGGCTTGAGTTATTTTACAATGTATTTCTATTTCAGATATAAGGAGTCATACCACCAATACTTATCCCTTATTAGTCTTTTTAAATTGTCACTTTTGAAAAAATTGTGCAAAATTTATCTTTGTTTTGAATAAAGAAATACTTGGCATGAGTAAAGTTTTATCCTGTCTAGTATTACAGACAAACTTTCACATGTCATTTAATTGCATATATGATAATAAACCATCACTGGAACTTAACCGATCAAATTTTCATCCCTTTTTTTTCTCTATTTACAACAAGCTTTAGTAACCATGTAACCTCAAGTTTCCAAAAAATTTGTAGAAACACCAAATATCATTGATGCTTTGAAAAACCCAAGATATATGATGATGACTGCAATGAAATGCATGGTTAACTTCCTACAACTGTCAGCTTCAAGGGAATATTTTTTCGACCCTGTTTCGTTTGAAACCGGATGTTACGTACTATATTTTGGTGGTATTACACTATAAGTAGTAGCCCTAAACATATCTCCCTTTTTAATCAAATAAAGTCTTAGACATTATCTAAAGTGTACTTTTAAATTTATCTAAATAAAACAACTTTAGATTTTAGAAAATTCACAACTAAAATAACACATAATTAAAGTTACTGAAAACACCCTTTTACTGGAAAACAGATATTATAAGATCTATAGAGATCAGTAACTCTTGGAGTTTTGTAACATAGTTCTAAATGTACTTCTAATTTTGTCTAGATCCAGAGATTTTAATTTTGAACAGTTTATATATTTTAATTCAAAATTAGTGGACACAATGGAAAAACAGATATTACAAGATCAAAAGAGATCAAGCTTTACAACATATAAGAAGATGACAACCATTTCTTCTTAAACTTACAAACATGCATAACATAAATTGAGAGAATTAATTCAACAATTTAAAAAAAAAAATACGAGGATCTATCAAATTTTATTGATATGGTCGAAATAAGCAAACTAAAATTAAAACATATATAAACCCCACATCTCAGTCAAATTTGGCAATCATTGATACCTGGGACTTTCTATAATAACAGACAAAGTCAACGGAAATATATTAAAAAAAATTAAGGCATTAAAAGTAAAATTTAAATAATTAAATATGGTTGAAAAAGATAAGAGAGAAGTTCTCGACTTTTTTTTCTTTTTACAAAATAAATTAATTTTACAGTTTTGGAAATTATAAAACGTTAAATTACTGAAGAGTTATAAACTTGTAATGATTTAAAGCATATATTATGAGAATCAGGTGACCAGTAAATTACAACTCACTTTGACAACTTGTTTTTTTTTTTTAAATATTTGATCATTAATAGATTTTTTTTACAACTATTTTTCTGTACTACATAACATTTTAAAAAAAATAAAAAAAACAAATGTAACAAAATTATTATTTATTAAACATTATAAAAAAAAAAATCTCAAAATTAGTTGTGAATAGTTGTATGTATGTAAGTCTATATTACTTATTTATTATTGATTTTTCTTTGAAACAAAAAAACCTTAATTGACCACTTTTGTCAAACAGATTAAATGCTCTTAAGACAAGTCCAACACATGTACAATGTACATGAGACACTACCTGTAAGCTATTTAATTTCGTCACTAGAATTTAATCATCACTATCCTTTATCATTGACTAGTAATTTGATTGCTATGAATACTTTTGTAATAGACAAGCTACAGGCGATATAACGATGAACATAAAGGACCTTCATGGTTGACAGATATTTTACGGCCACCATTAATCAGGGTATGTTCAAGGCTGTTATTTGATTAAACTTCTATGAAAACAACTTAGAACAAACAAAACAAGATGAAAACAAATCCCAAAGAAATCGCATTCCAAGAAATAGGTTACCTTAGCTGTATTTTGCAAAAACCTTTAAGAAATGTTGGTCCTAAATGTTCTTCAACTTCGTACTTTATTTGGCCTTTTTTATTTGTTTTTTTTTTTTGTTGTTTTTGTTTAGAACGTCACTGATTAGTCTTCTGGCGTACACATTTTTAAGCCTGGTATATATGGTAAATTTATTTATTCAAAACATAAGCACGACTGGTCGCAGCGACAAGGTAGGTTCAGATAACAGTAGTTTACCGATGTTCAAATCACTTAAATAGATTAGAAATTGTGTTCTCAGTTTTACAGTTTGAATTTGCGTAGATGGTATATTTTTGATTTATACAGGAACTCAGGATAGAACTACTAGTATTGACAGCTTTACAACATAAACTAGTCCTCCTCCCACATTGTTAATAGCAACCTGGAAGTGGAATAGGTTGGTATGTAAATAGAGCTGTTACTAATTTGTCACGGAAGCTTTTCAGTCTTCCGAAGGCCATGACTGGTTTGGAGGAAACTACTCACTTCAAATCGGATTCATTCTTTATGATTGTCTATGCTTTCGAACAATCGATGACAAATGTTTGAAATCAGGATGGTAAGTGAGTACAAGAGGTGTTATATTGGCCCCTTGAAACTTATCTCTGTACCGCAGAAGGTCTTGGCGGTCAATTAGTTCCTTTTTTTTCAAAAGCTGTATCTATATTGTTGTTAATCGTGTAAATGTATTCTTTAGCAACTAGATATATACGTAGTTGTCAAAGTCTAACATTGGCTTATTTTCAGTTGAGCATATTTTCTTAATTCCCGGTGTTTTCTACGTAGAGAAATCCGTTATCATTGTTCAGTTCACAATCAAGTAAGATTAATGTTACACGACCGTTACTTCAGTGACGGTCATTTTACATTAATCTCACTTGATTGTGACACCCCCGGATGCCAATTATCACCTAATTGTTACTTCCAATGAATAAAACGACAGTTCCCACTAGTGGAGAATGAAAGGCGAAACCTAACGAAGAAATGCGTTGTTTAGTTTTATGTGTCGTTTTCTGTGGACTGTTTCTTGTCTTTTCTTTTTTGGGGGGTCATGGTGTTGTCTACTTTTTAAAAATAACAACTACTTGAATAATAAATAATTCAGTCGGGTTCAGTTTTTCAATCAATTTTCGAGTTGATCCACTGTGGTCAATTTAGTACTGTTCAGACACTTCGCTTGTAGTCAATTCAGAACTGTTCAGTAGCATTTCAGACAATTCAGTCGTATGTTGATGTGTTCAGGTGAATAACAACAACTGAACAGCCTAAACGTAGACTGAACAGATCTTAATTGACCGTAAGCGAACTGTCGAACAGCACTTAATTTACAGCAGTGCATAAGTACTAAAATTGACTGATGTACTTAAAATTACTCTTTTTTTAATGATTTCTTGTTAAGTTTTTTTTAGATCTGTCGATCGAAATGACCGTGTAAGATCAAAATGTATTTTCTAGTGGCTGCAAACGTTTTGTTTGTAAGTTTACTGATGTTTCAAATGCATGTCAACATTTTTGATACATAGAATCATTCAGATAACTACTCTGTTGGTCAATGATTAACATATTTAAACCAAAAAAGTGATGCAATGTCCCATGACCCTCTTGTAACGTAAATAATGGACGTAATTATTATTTTTAGAAAGTAATGACATAAGCAAAACATGGATGCGGTCAACGTTTGTTTAATTTATACATTCTATTTTCACAGAATGGTTCTATAAATGGCCAATTGTATGTGATGGATTCGGGGTTGATTGTATCATTGATAAACGACTACAGTTAAACTATAAAGTATTACAGAAAATAATAAAAAAGAAGAAATTGAGCATCATTTCAGGTAAAAATAAGTTTGAGAAATAACCATATTCAATGGTCATATATAATATATCAGATAATGTTTCTTTCTTATTCAAAACTATTAAAGACTTGAGATTGACCCCTTGGTATGTTCTCCCTATTTTTCCAATTTCTACGGATAACCGTGTTTCTATGTCTCAAATAAATTTTGACATTTGAAATAATTTTTAATCTTACATTTCCACAAACAGGTTTTCATTTGTCCTCACCTGTTATGTTACATTTTTGACTTTGTGGCGCTTACTGTAAAATAATTGACAGGATCCTAATTTTATAATCCTCTATTCACCTTTTTAAACCATAACTTTTGAGTCATCTACTAAAAAATCGTTACCTTTTACACATTATTGAGTCCCATGCAAATAACATAAACGAACAGCTTATCTTGTTATATATATTAACCACACTTAAATACGTTAATGCCATTGGTATTTCAGATAACATTCAATCGGAGATGGATTTAACAATCTTACATCTTTCATCGAGTATTGAATTTGAAAAACTTCTCATCTTCCAAAAAATGGGGACAATACGTCAGGTAAACATAAGAGAAGAACTACACAACTCAATTGAAGCAAATCAGATCAACCTATGTAGATATATACTAATGAAATCCAACAAAAGTGTCTTGTTTCCACTGTTAGAAGAAGCTTTAGACAAAGCTATTAGAACAAAATGTAGAAACACAATAAAGGCTGTCACTTCCCGAATCATTACAGAATTTTCCCAAATGCATAAGAACGTGTTGGACAGAAAAACAAGTATTTGGTTAGGCATCGAATGCGCTTGTAAGACAACAAAAGATGAGAATTACGAAGATTGTCTTTGTTTCTCTTCAAAGCCCAAGATAATTCTTGAAAGGTATCAATCAAACTTTGAAGATACATCTATCGATAAAATGTTTGCTGGTTTCTCGATAAGGATTATTGATTTTATGGAATCAAACTCAACAGAAGCAAGCATTGTTGCAAAAAAGATTTTGGAAAATTCTGAAACTCAATTGATAGAGGGGAATATATCTGGGAAAGTAGCAAAAGAACTGTTTAAAAAACACGCTAAGTTATCCATTATCTATCCTTCTACTATGAAATCGAAAGGTTTTAAGAATCCCGGATCTCATAAAGTCGAGAAACTTGACTGTATCAACTTAGTTTGTAGCGTAAAAGGAGTTATACCAGTAGGAGAGACTCATTTTCCTTTAGAAATTGAAGGTGTCCGAACGGATGTGTTAGAGGGAGCAACACATTTACTTGGCACTTTGAGGATTGGTGATGTGGTTGAAAATACGAATACTCAAGCTACTGGCACGCTCGGGGGGTTTGTAAAATATTATGGATTGGACACATTTTTAACATGTGCTCATGTTGTCTTTGGAATAGATAATGTGCATTCAATAACAAAAAAAGAAATACATCTCAAAAACTGTCATAAAATGAAGGGCAACACCATTTCTGATGAGACAGAATGTATATTGATTCGGCATCAATTCAAAAATAATAATCATGATCCATCTGAGACGAGCATCGATGCAGCTTTGGCTATAATCAAGACAGGCGATTTGAGTATAATCAACATTGCAAGAGACGGCCCAAACAATCACTGTTGCTCGGGATTAGGTATGTCCACTTCATAAATATGTGCATTAAAAACTGGAAAGCTCTGTCTACAACAACGTATCGACGAATCAAATTAACACAATAAAAGTAACACAAAATATCTAGTGGCATAGTTGCACGGGTCGGGAAAATTTGTTACATCTTTTGATATGAAACATTTAATACAACCTATACGATTTCAATAAAATGTAGCGGCGAAGTAATAATACCTATGATTTATAAGATAGTGTTTCGGATCATGGTACTCATAATAAATCCCAGAAGTGAGCTTAATGTCTTGCGATATATTGGTGAGATATACCAAATACAGTCGATCGCGATATCGAAACAACATATTATCGTCTATTTCCTGTCAACGTGGAAATTTGTGCACGGGGCAACTTTGTTTATTTCCCGATGACATGAAATACCCCCTGGCGAAAAGTTTATAGAAAACCAAACATATTGCGGCATAGGCTAAGGCGAACCTTTTCTTTATCCAAGAATTTAACCCCTGCACTAAAACGTATGTACTGAAATCGCGTAATCATGAACCAGAAAAAAAAAAGATAAGATCACAGTATCATTTGTTTCAGGCCCTTTCAATATTGATACTGTTTGTATTTGCTATCCGTCATTCCTAAAATGTATTTAATTTGAACAGTGCAAACGTTCATTGGCATATTCAGGATGATAACAATTCAACAATTCATACAAGAGTTATTTTCCACATAGTAATTGGTTATTTAACACGAATAGAAAGCCATCGGGTTTTAGGTCAACAGTCATACTTGACGAAGGAGAGGGCGTGTTTATACATTCAGCAAAGTCAAACAAACGCTCCTCTTTGGCAAGGCTTTTAATGCCGGATGGGAGAAACCTTGGTATGTGAAATAAATATGTGAGAGAAAAAATGTAGGTGGTTATGGAAGAGTATTAGATAACAACTATATTTTCATTGCAATTACAATGTTAATTTTCCTAAATCGTGTGCATCCTTTTCAATGGAATTGTCGTTTCTTGGCGTTTGAAGCAGTGGCCATACAACTGATGGACTGCAGCAATGTATTAATTGAATATCGTAACAAAATATACTGTATATATAAACAAGAAAACAAAACTAATAACGGACTGTTTCTTTGTCTATTTTTTGTCAGGTTTGTCATCACCTTATTTGAATAACAATGCTATCGATCCAGTAACATTGCGTAACGCCAAAGCATTTTGCGGATATTCCGGAAATCAGATAAGTGATTCAAAAACATTGAAGAGGAATGTCCTTGTAAGAATGCCTTCACATCTACAGTCTGGATACATTACGATGTTCAATCAGCTATGTCTCTATGGGATGGATTTTCAACCAGGAGATTCGGGGACGTGTGTGTATGTTGATAACTCGAGCTACTTCAGTAGGCAAACTGGTTGTATTGGGATGTTGATAGGACAGTCAACGTGTGGACACTATGTTTTAACACCGATGAAGGAAATACTGAAAGCATTTGAGTTGTAAATCGTATATAACTCAGAGATAGATATAAAAACTAATAATATTTATGTGAAAACATTAAATTATGAATGACCTATATTTTTGTTGAAAGTTTCAAAATTATTGTATTCCATATTTATATTCCTACCTAATGGAGCAAAAAGGACAGTATGGTTCTAGATTTGAGCAATTTGGTCAGAGCTGTTATGTTTCGAAGTTGTATTGTATATATTATGATTTACAGATTGAAAGTCTACTAGAAAATCGTAGCAAAATGAAACTATTTGTAGGAATAACGTTTTGATTTTAATCGAAACATGCGAAAAGGGACAGAAAATTTAAAAGAGGCAATCAAAACCAGATATAAAAAAATACAGAAAACATAAAGATCAATAGATTAAAACTGCCCCAGGTTTAGGGGGGGGGGGGGATGTGAGCGCTCACAAATATGTTTAACTCCGTCATATTCTTTATGTGTCTGTCCCATGTCAGGAGCCTGTATTTAAGTGGTTGTCGTTGGTTCATGTCTGTCATATTTGTTTTGTTATAAATTAGGCCTTTAGTTTTCTCAATTGAATTGTTTCATATTTTCATATCGGGGCCTTTTATAGCCGACTATACGGTATGGGTTTTTCTCATTCTTGAAGGCCGTACGGTTGCCTATAATTGCTTATATCAACTTTATTTGAACTTTGGTGGATAGTTGTCTCATTGGCAATCATACCTCATCTCCTTATTCTTATATTACACAGAACTAGGAAGGATCAAAATGAACATAACCAAAAATCTAGGTGAATACAGGCTCCGGAAGGGTCATCAGTTCATATATGAATATTGACACAAGTATTGTAACTCTGTCTAAATCAATTGATTATATCCATCTTATGTACTCTTTTCTTTTTAAACTATGAGAAACTATAGACTATCCATTCATTATCTTATCCTTATACATAATTTAGAAAGTTTATAAAGTCTGAAAAGAAAGGATAAACAAAACCTTCAACTAGTGATTACGCAAATTTGTTTAGTCTATGCATCAGCTAACGGAACCCATTCTTCGATGAAATGAATAATCATATTAAGAATTTTAGTAAATTTTTGATAAAAACAAACTAATTTGGCTTTTAAATGATAAAGACAAAGATATTTCTCCGTTTAGTTCGTAACCTGGATTTGTTTTCTCTTAATCAATTTATGACTTTTGAACAGCGGTGCCTTTATATATCATATATACATTGTACAAATTGTGGGATCAACTCTCGAAAAGAGATATTCAAATTAATGGGTGATTTATGAGCTGCTCCCCTTAATTATGTGAAATATTGTGTTCCAAATGGAATCGATATTGCTGTTCTTACCAATTTATGTTTTGCAATTCTTGTCTTTTTATGTATGTATGATGTATGTTGTTATCAACTCAATTCGATGAATGGGGTGTTTTTGTTTTTGTTTTCTATATTTTAAAACTGTTGCAATTTACTTTGGATATTACACTAAATCAATTGCACATTATGTCTTCCTTCACTGTTCGTGACGTCTTCTATGTACATTCAATGACATTAGAGTGTACAAGGGCATGATTTATAATCAGTCCTTTGATCTATAGTTACATTTGTTGTTTTTATTCGGTTTAATTTAGTATTAAATGCATTGTACTTATGGTTTTGTTATTCATTGACACGGATTATTAAGTATAATTTTCGGGGTGTTATTTATGCAGTTAAGTGGTTTATATGAATCAATTTTATCTTCTTTTTTTAATGTGTCCCTTTTGATATTCATTGATCGAGATTAAATGAGAGAGATTTGATTTGAGTTCTTATAAAATAACCGATAACCCTATATTTTAATGTGTGTTTCGATACCTAACATCGTCAATGGTCGTATCTTTGACAGTCTCTTTTAAAATCGTTTAACACCTTTCTTAACTCGAGGTGAAATATAGATACTGTGGAATCTGAATTCATCGAAGAGTACTAATTTTCATTGATTTCGATGGTATAGGTGAGCCACAAATCTTAATTTTAGCGAAAAACAAATTTCCTATGAGCTGTGTACAGAATTTCTCTAAAACCACGTAAACTAGAATCAATGCAATATTGATTCTCTCTGAACCAACAACACATGGATCCAAACGAATATAGTTGTTAATTTCTGTGTCATTTGGTCTCTTGTGGAGAGTTGTCTCATTGGCAAGCATACCACATCTTCTTATTGTTATATCAATGAATCTACAAAAATGGCCTATTGTTCAAGACCATATTTTAACTCCCGATATCCTTTTGTGTTCGATTGTTTTCTCATTGACGTATACCAGTATACCGGACATCTCCATGTAATTATTTTAATTTTTGTTTTTTCTTACTTTGGCACTGTCTTGATGCTAACCCCATATAATATAAAGAGAAATGTGATGTTATAATAAATGAATTTCAAACAAAAAATTGATTACTCTTATTAAAAAAATATAAAACTGATTGTTAACTGTATCTGCATACGGTGTGAGTAATCAAAGGTAAAATAGGAAGATAGCATACATATTGATTGCTTGATAGTTGATTGCTTAACGCCCAATTGCGCATTTCGTGCAAATATGTCATGCAAATTCAGGACTAGAGATCTTGTAATTTGCTAGACCGGGATTGAGGTCGGGATATTCGGACTTCCAATTTAAAATGATAATATGTTGGATAGGGGCCGAAACCACTCATAAATCCTAACTGATTGATTACAAGGGTTCTTTGATGTGTAAAGAGCAAGGACCATCAAGCATTTTAATACTTGCCAACATTATGACCAGACGCAGATTCGTATTTATACATGGCCAAAAAGACGGCCTGTTTTCGCAAGTTTTACTGACGGACGGGAGAAGTCAAAAGATGATCATATTTATATACGCTAGTTAAACCATGGGTTAGACAGCATATTATGTTAGTGACACATACTGATGCATAAAGAAGTGATGAAGAAACAAAGGTTCCAACTCCCTCGGGCAAAGTTGACCTTTGTTGAATTTGCCAATCCTTTTTTTTGTCATTTTTTTGTCAAATAGTTTCTGAAGGTTCTACTAATTTATACATTCCCGGCTTTAAAATGTTTACATTTGATTGTTTCTGATGAAAGCATTTCCAGAAAAGCTGTTCGGACGGACGGGATTAATATGGTGTTTTTTTAACGGATTGATAGTTCTCCATTCCATGTACTAGTACCGAAAAGACAGATAAGATGTAAACACAATCGGAATTTCATTAAATTGAAACTGATTGAGACTAGGTGCACCTGTCCTAAGTCAGGAAACTGTTATTCGATGGTTGCCGTTTGTTGGTGTGAATCATACGTGTGTCTCGTTTCTCGTTTTTAATATAGATTAGACCGTTGGGTTTCCTGTTAGAATGGTTTTTCACTAGTCATTTTTGTGGCACTTTGTTGCCATTGCGTTGTCAGTTTATTTTCGATCTATGAGCTTGACTGTCCCTCTGGTATCTTTCGCCCCTCTTTTATACATTTATAGCTTGCTGTTCAGTGTGAGCCAATGCTCCGTGTTTTTACAAATTTTGACTTGAAAGGAGAATGTTCCTTCATCCAAGCATATCTTGGATGTGCAGGATGAAGGTCATTCTTAGAATATGAGCCTGAGGCTCGAAAGTAATGAATTAGCTTAACTTCTCTATGAGGGGTGAAGCTTACATGTAATATCTCTGTTTAAAGAAACAAACTATAACCACCAGACCATAGATGGCCAGTGACCTTGACCCTAGTATATAAGCACCTGTTCCATAATAACTTGTCATAATTTAAAGCAAGTTTGTGTCGACCATAAAACCCATTGGAAAAGGGTGGGTCTGACTGATAATCCCTAGGGTGGGAATTAATTACTTTCGAGCCTCAGGCTCATATTCTAAGAATGACCTTCATCCTGCACATCCAAGATATGCTTGGATGAAGGAACATTCTTATTCATATTTCGCCTTCGGTCTCAAGTAATGAATTAGCTTGTTTAAAGTGTAGACACAAACTAAAAACAATTTTTACATAAATGCCACATTTAATAAAGCATAAAAATCACAAGATCATCCAGTAATTACAACTGAAGAAAAGTGTTTTAGTACTGATATTATTCACTTCCCTGTTATTGAACTTATAAAAAGTTCTAGCACATGTCCAGACTAAGCTGTTGCTATAATGTCTTTAATAGAACATCCTGAAGCTAAAGGCACTTATGAAGAGGTTCCTCTAAATGAGTGAACCTTAAAACGTCTGCTAAAATTAGAACTCTCTATCTAAACTTTACGAAAAGTTCCATAAAAAATAAACAGACTTAGATGAATTCCTCACATATTTTGTACACAAAACATAATAAATCATTGTCTTAACAACACAAAGTTTTGGTTTATCAAAACCCTTGAACACCTCATTAGGTAGACTAACTAACAGATCTAGTATTTTTCAAAAGCTCATGTATATGAAAAAATAAATTGCCTTGTCTCTGAATGAAAGACATAGAATGTAAATCTAGAGCTGATAAAGATTGTACTTTGGCAGCTGTAGTCAAGGCAAATAAAGACACAAGTATAAAAGACAGTCTTCAATGTTAAATCCTCCAATGAATATAAAGAACTTACCACTAAATTCACCTCCCAAGTGAAAGAGTATCTAACTCTTCAATTGCAGATTCAGGTTTAAGCAACCCTTCACATAAAGTAAACAAACAAATTTAGTAACATCTACTTCTTAAAGGATCAAGTCTGTTTCAACATAGACCAAGTAAAATTTACATTGAACATGCTGAATATGAAAACTTCTGTTTTACAAAAAAAAAAATTCAATAATCAATAACATCCTTTTCAGATGGTGATGAGGAATTGATTCTCCTTTGAACACACCAAATAATGAAATTTCTCAAAAAATATTGATATTGCTTGATCATAGATGCATGGTCTCCAAGATGAAGTGTAAACATATTTTGCAAATGATTCTGAAATCTTCTATTTATAAGTGATTTCTGAATACAATACACATGTTTTACCCTACCGCACAATCACCACTTCAGGTGTTGGTTCACTTATATTTTTACTATACACACAGTTAAATTTAGTCTCTTCCTGAGGGGAAGGCATTCTTCAGTATGCAACATCGTTACTAATTTTTATGCTTAGCAGTTTAACTGGCAAATAAATTAAAAAGGCCTTAGCAAAGAAAACCAACTCTGAGCCGGCCAAAAAGGAATAATAAAAATAGCCTGAACTTCACTAATAATTTTCTTTATAATTATCCCCAACAAGGAAAAAGATGGGAAAATATAAGGTCTTAATTCTGACCATGAAAAGTAAAAACATCTCTGAAAGGAGCTTGTTGGTCAAAAGACAGAGAAACAATTATCTACAGATTTGAAAATGAAAACGTGATAAAAACAAAACAAATATT